TCACGCGACCCCGTCCGCAGAGCTACGTCCCCACCGTCTTTGAGAACTACACGGCGAGCTTCGAGATCGACAAGCGCCGCATCGAGCTCAACATGTGGGACACCTCAGGTAGCCCGGGCCCCGGGGCCACTCGGCCTCCGTCCCCGCCCTGACCCCGCTCGGCCGGTCCCGAGATTCCAGGCCGGCCCCGCAATCTGTCCCGCCTGAAGCAAAATCTGTGTTCTACTGAATGCCGGGGAAACTGAGGCAGGACTTGGCGAGCCCGACAGAATTGTCCTAAAGCAGAAAGCCTGGTGCCCCGCTTTCCCGGGCAGGCAGAGCCGCTGAGGACTCAGATACAGGCTTTCTCCTGGCGGGCAGAGCTGGGGAGAGCCGAGGCCAAGTCCCAAGAGGACCCGGAGAACTCTGCCTGGCCCTGCCCCTCCCTGCTGCAACAGGAGAGCGCTTGTACTTCCACACACTTCCCTGGGGCTTTACAGACGCCTGTCAAAGTCCAGAAAGCACACCAAAAATTTCCTGAGCATCTCGGAAGGTTCCAAAACTCAGGCTGGAACCTTGATGCACACATGTAATCCCAACACTCTTGGAGGCTGAGGCAGGAGGATGGCAAATTCAAGCCCAGACTGGGCAACTGAACAACACAGTAAGATGCTATCTCAAAATCTGAAAAGGGGGGTGGTCCTGGGGATGTAGGTCAATCCCCACTACTGCCAAGAGAAAGAAAGAAAAACGTTAAAATTAAAATACAAAAAGGATCAAAATTCACCAGGCGTGGGGGCTACGCCTGCAGTCCCAGCACCAGCCCCTCGGTCTCTGGCCCCCAGGCTGCCCGCATGGGGTGTGTTCGCTCCCTCACTCCTGTCTTCACTCAGGTTCCTCTTACTACGACAATGTCCGGCCCCTGGCCTATCCGGACTCGGACGCTGTGCTCATCTGCTTCGACATCAGCCGGCCGGAGACCCTGGACAGTGTCCTCAAGAAGGTGGGGAGCCGGCAGGGGCTGTGCCCAGCACGAGCGGAGAGGAGAAGGCGACGTCTGGGGTGGTGTGGGTGACGCGCTTGTCCCTTCTACTTTGCCCCTTCCTAACAGCCTCGGAGCTGGGCAGGAGTGGAAGGTGCCAGGGTGCCCGGCCTTCCTGGCCACTGAGGCAGGAGGTCCCCAGCCCCCTCAAGGCCTCTCCTCACCTTCGCAGATGACCCTGGGCTCTCAGCCCACCCCTTCCCTGTGCCCACAACCCCCATGACCTTGTCTCTCCCCTCAACAGTGGCAGGGGGAGACGCAGGAGTTCTGCCCCAACGCCAAGGTGGTGTTGGTTGGCTGTAAACTGGACATGCGGACTGACCTGGCCACCCTGCGGGAGCTGTCCAAGCAGAGGCTCATCCCGGTCACACATGAGCAGGTGGGACCCTTGACTGCCAACCCAATCCGAGCCTCAACCTCTGGCCTCTGACCCTCTCACTCTCTGATTTGAAAACATACTACCTAGCGGGGTGTGGTGGCACACACCTGTGATCCTGGTGTTCTGGGAGGCTGAGGCAAGATTGAAACTTCTTTTCTTTTCGTACCCGGAATCAAACTCAGGACCTTGTACTTGCCAGGCAGGCGTTTGTGCCACTGAGCTAGATCCCTAGCCCAAGACTGAAATTTGGAGCTAACCCTGGACAACTGTAGTGATTTGATTTAGCAAGACCTTGTCTCAAAATTAACGATAAAAACGGGCTGGGGATGCAGCTCAGTGCAGAGGCCCTGACTTGAGTCTTCAGTACTGTGAAAAACAAACACAAAATCACAGTCCATGGCTCGTGTTTTTGCTCTGGCCTCTGATCTGATCCCATGGCGCCCCAGGCCTGACCTTGAACCCAGCCCACGCCCACCAGACCCCTTGCTGGGCTGCACCCCAGTCCTGACCCCAGCTCCTCTCCCTAGGGCACCGTGCTGGCCAAGCAGGTGGGGGCCGTGTCTTACGTAGAGTGCTCGTCGCGGTCCTCGGAGCGCAGCGTCAGGGACGTCTTCCACGTGGCCACTGTGGCATCCCTGGGCCGCGGCCCCCGGCAGCTGCGCCGCACCGACTCGCGCCGGGGCCTGCAGCGATCCACACCACTGTCGGGCCGGCCGGAGCGGGCTGTGGAGGGCGAGATGCGCAAGGACCGGGCCAAGAGCTGCAGCCTCATGTGAGGCCTGAGGGCAGGGCGGGGCCGCGGCTTCCTGACCTCCGACCCCGGCCGAAGGGCCTCGTCCTCCTTGCCTTCCTCTGCCGGGACTGGAGGGAGCTCAGGGTGGGCGGCAGGCGTGAACCAGGATGGGCAAGGGCCACTCAGGAAGCCCGCGTCACGCAGTGACCTTGCTGTCTCTCCATAGATTGCCCCTCCTGCCCGCCCCAGCCCCATAGCCTGGCCCTGGCTTGTGTCCCCACGGCAGGCGTCCGTTCTGTGAGCTTCGCTTTCTGTCCTCCCTCGCGGTCTGCACAGTTCTAACCTCCAGACCCCGCGCCGAGCTTGGAGATGCCCCTCCTGCACACCTAGCGGCCCTCGACTCCCTGTCCCGTCCGTGACGGTCCCCAAATAAAGCCCAAGTCCATGGAGAACGGCCGTGGCTGTAGTTGTGTTGCCTTTTCCAAAACCACTCTACCCGCGTCTGTCCCAGGAGGGGACTTTTGTCCTGGGGACTTCCTGGTCCGCACGCACCGGCTGAGCAGGGTGGCACACATAGTTGGATCAGAGGTGACCTTCAGGAGCCAGGCTGGGGGTGCAGGTGGGCCTGGGGCTCCTCGCTGCTCGGCATTAGGGGGTCCCGCTGTACTCGGCCGGGCCCAGGACACCAGGACGGGTGTTGGAGTCACCCCTCCAGCCCAGCTACCCTGGGGGCCGTGGGACTGGGACGCACCCCACAAGCTGACCCCACCTGGGCCTGAGTCTCCCCGGCAGTCGGCAGCGGGATGCTGGGCTCCCTCCTTTCCATCTTGAGCTCTTGGCCGGTGGGGGAGCTTCTGCTGCGAGTTGGGGTCCCCCCGCCTACACCCTTGGAAGAGAAGCGCTGGGAGCACAGGCATCGGGAGGACAGCGCTGGCCTGTGTGCTCAGCGTCTGCACGTGGACTGCCCTGTTTCTCCCCCTGGCTCTGCTCCCAGGGGCCTCTTCGGTGACATTCTCCCCCGGGAACCGTGCGGGCTCCCTCCCTGCCCCAGCCGCCCTCGTTTCTCCCAGACCTGGCCTCCATCCCTGGAGCCCCCCGCCCCCCGCCCCCCGGCTCATAGCCGCGGCGCTGCAGCCTGCATGCCGCGCGGGCTTGTAGGCAGCCACGGTGTCTGGTCTCGGGAGGCCACCCAGCCCGGTGGGGAGGAGCCCGGCGCGGGGACGTCTGGGCTGAGGTGTTCACACCCACACCTGTGGGGCCTGTCTGAAGAAGTTTGCCGGGCGGTGCAGGGCTGGGAGCGCTGCCCTGGGCCGGAGGTCCAGCAGGTGCGGGCTCGGCATGAGAACGCACTTTGCGTGGTCGGCTCCACAGCATGGAACCAGACAGGAGGCGCAGGAGGTACATCGAGGCACTGCAGCGCCCAGCAGGGCAACGGGACTGTATTCTGAGGATGGCGGAAGCCAGCAGGGACTTCGGGCAGACAGTGAAGTGACCAGATTTGTGTGGAGTTTTTTACCTTTTTCAGGCAGGCTTGCGCTGTGTAGTTCAGGCTGGACTTTAACTCACTATGTAGCCCAGGCTGGCTTTGAACTCATGGAGATCCTCCTGCCTCAGCCTACCAAGTGCTGGGATCCCAGGTGTGCCTCACACACCAGTTTCTTCTCCACTTTGGATCACGCAGCCCAAAGCCCGCTTGAGTCTGAGGCCTCCAGATTGCAGGGCGTTCTGCCCTCCTCTCCTCCCTCCCTTCCCTGGGCCTGCGCTCAGGGAATGCAAACGAATTTCAATATCCGCCAAAGCAAACATAATTAGGAAGATAAATCAGCCAGAGGAACCCCCAAAGTTCAATACACTGCCAGTCCCCCAGGACAGGTGCTGGTCCCCCCAAGCACCGAGTGCCAGCCAAGAGGCTAGTGGGGGGCTGCTCCCGGTCCTCAACATCCCCCGCAGTCCGGGGTGCAGGAGTCGCACCCCACTTCCGCCTCCCAGCTGCTTCCCCCACAAATTAGATACTCGTACAGTTTGGGAAACAATGCAGCTGCGTTAATCATTTAATGGAATAAACAACTAATCACGCTGTGATCCTGCTGGTGTTTCTTCACCTCAGCAATCAGCCTTCTGGGAGGACGGCGAGAGCCTGACCTCGGAGACAGTGGCCCTGGCTGTGGCCTCCCAGAGCACTGGCACGGAAAGAGGCCAAGTTTTGGAGACACAAGCCCCTGGATCTACATCCAGCCCGGGGCTTCCTCCCTGGGCGAAGCCCAGCAGTCCTCTGAGGCTCAGTTTTTACACCTGAGAAAGCAGTTAATCAGCAGAGCGTGGTGGCACACACCTGTCAACCCAGCACTCTGGGAGGCTGAGGCAGGAGGATTGTACGTCAAAGTCCTGCCTGGACAATTCAGAACTTAGTGAGACAATCTCTCAAACATAAAAAGTGTAAAAGGACCAGGGATGTAGTTCAGTGCAAAGGCCCTGGGTTCAGTCCCCAGTACGGCCAGAATAAAGGGACTCACCTCCTGTGTGGACCCCCTTGTGTCCTTGAGGAGGAGGATGTCATCACCCTCTACAACTGGGGCAGTGGCAAGGCCCCCAGTGGTTCCACAGCTGTCTTGAGGGAACTCGGAAAGACGGGTGGGCTTGGTGCTGGGACTCGAGCCTGAGGAACAGGCAGGGGAGGTGGCCCTCTGGTCTGCACCAGTCTTAGGAGCTGAGGGGGACCCTCAGCTGCTCCTCCAGTGGCCGAGGTCCTCTGGTCTCCATCTTTCTTTTTTTTTTTCTTTTTGTTTCTTCGTCTTGTTTTATTTTTCTTCCAGTACCAGGAATCAAACTCACGACCTTGTGCTTGCCAGGCAGGAGCTTTGCCGCTGAGCTAAATCCCAGCCGCTGGTCTCCATCTTTCTGAACTCCGCGCCTTCCTGCAGGAACCTTGCGCACCCCACGTTGCCGTGGTAACTCGCCCTGCTACAGCCTCTCCGGTGGGCAGGAGGAGGGAGCCCTGTCCCTCAGTGGCATCCTCAGTTTCCCAGGGGCAACGCTGGGGTAGCTCTGCCCACTCCCCAGGAAGAGTGTCTGTTTCAGCAGCTTCCTCTGCAACTTCACCCCGCTCCCGCCTCTGGACGGCCCTTCCTTGCTTTCCTCCAGGGGGCTGAGGTCCAGGGGTCCTTCAGGTCTGCAGGGTGGGGTGAATCCTGGGCAGCTGCCCCCCCAAAGCCGGAGACAAGGCAGCCAGGCATCCCTCCCCCACCGCTGCTGACTCCTAAATAACAGATGTCTGTCTGCATGTTAATGAGGCTGGGCGAATAATTGGGGAGTTTTTCATTCAGCGTCAGGATGAACCCGGAGGCCTTCTGTTCACACACAGGCGCTCCTCGCCCCTCGCCAGCATGAGGCAGGGACCTGGCTCTGTGGCCGACGCCCGAAGGGGAGCCGCCCTGAGCAGGAGGGCCAAGGGTCTCTGGAGTGACCATTGTCTCCCACCCCCAGGAGGCCAAGGGAGGTGTCACACCCCGGGGGGGGGGTGGGCAGCGGGCACAGCAGGAGAGGCTCCAGTGCAGGGGGGACACAAAGGTGGCCCTGAGGGGCTGGGGATTTAGCTCAGCGGCAAAAGCGCATGCCTGGCAAGCGCAAGGTCGTGAGTTCGGTTCCCGGTACCGGAGAAAAAACAAAAAAAACAAAAAAAAAACAAAAAACCAAAAAAAATAAATTAACTGTAACTTTAAAAAAAAAAAAAAGGTGGCCCTGAGCCTGTGTCTGCCACTGTCTGCCACCAGACCACCTTGGACAAGTGATGCAGCCCCCTGGGCCTCGGAACTGGCCTGATTTCCAGTGGGCCGGGCACGCGTTGGCTGGGCGGGTGAAGGTAGAACCCTGAATGAACCGTCTAAAAGGTTCTAGAATCCCTGACACTGCCGCTGTCTGCCAACAGCTCACTGTTTGGCCTTTAGCAAGTCTCATGTCCTCTTTTCACACCTCCCTCCCCTCCTCTGTCCAAGGAGTGGGTCACGCTGGGGGTGACAGTCCACACCTGTAATTGCAGCACTCTGGGAGGCTGAGGCAGGAGGACTGCAATTTAAAAAATAAAGGTCTGGGACCGTGGCTCAGGGGGAGGACCCTGGGTTCAATCCCCAGTGCCACAAAGAAAAAAAAAAATAAGCGAGGCCTGGTTTGCTCTCCAAAGCCCCACCCTCTTGAAAACAAGAGCCCTCCAGGGCGCAGGAAGGAGGGCGCTGCCACCCCCAGCCCCAGGGCCATCCGTCACCGACAGGGTCCCTCCCGCTCACCCTGTGACCCATCCGCTGTCCCGGCAAACAACTGTCCATTGTGTCCCGCGAGGGAGGCTGCGCTTGTGATGTAAATGAGCGACTTGGCCTCTGCCGCCAGGCAGCCTGTCACCCTCTCCCATCTGCTCCTGGAGGACCGGCCCAGACGGGCCTGCTTTTGTCCCTCACGGCCGCGCCCCAGGAGCCCCGTGCCAGGCCCCATTGCCTCCGCACCCCAAAGGTGGCTCGCTTTTGTTTTCAGAGAAATCGAGCGAAATCCTCGGCACACAGTCGTCCCCTGTGGGCGCACAGCTCGGGGGCACTTGGGGCACACAGGCTCTGTGCTCCCCTCAGTGCCGCTTGAGGCCGGGGGGGTCCTGGCGGCTGCGGTGGGTGTGGTGCAGAGCCCTGCGGGCCTGGGGGCCCCTGTAGGTGGGGAGCGAGGCTTCGGACCCTGGGTCAGGGGCTGACCTGACCGGTTTTCCCCTTCCTGTGTCGCTGGTGCTGGGTTAGAAACCAGAGGTGGCCTGCGGGCTCCGGGCGCTTGGAGCTGATCCCATCACCTTGCCGGCTTCTCACCTTGGGGCTGCGATGGCCCGGAGCTCCAGGAAAGGACAGGCCGCAGAGAAGCGTCCCCACCTCCTGGGCCCACGGAGCAGTTAGTCCCGTGGCCGCCTGAGTCCGGCGTGAATCTCTGGCAGACACACACTTCTGTCGGGCTTTATGTGGTTTTCAAGGCAGGGTGGCAAACACCCGCTCGCTGTGTCTCTGTCCCCTTGGGTACACGCTCTCGCCTTTTCCTCACCCGGGACAGGTAGCAGTGGTTAAAAAGCAACAAAACCGAAAAGCCTTCCTGGAATTAGTGCCAGCTGCTTCCGTGTTGCAGAGAAAAGGCCTCCTGAGCTACAGACTTTCTCTGACCTTCTGCAGCCTCTGGCCCGGCTCACCGCGAGTCTGGGCTCCCTGTCCCCCACACAGAGCCAGGGCACTGCCCCTGCGGCCTGAGGAGAGGGGCTCCTGAGCCCGTCACCAGCTCAAGAGTGACAAGGCCCCGGGAGCGGGCCAGCAGCCTCTACCCCAGCTGGCAGAGGCCCTGGCTGCGCGGGTGCTGCGCACTTGGGAGTGGTTGGCAGAAGCGACCTCACCCCTCCTCAGCTGAGCGTGGCATCCGGGCAGGCGACCTCAGGAGAGGC